CGGACCGCTCCCGGGGCCGCTTTTGACCACCCTGGCCCACCCAAATCCCTCATCCCTTGCTCGCGCGCGTTCCCGTCCAGTGCTAGTTCCCCGCATTCATGCAGCTGCAGGCAGCGAAGCTATGTGGGAGAGCCTTTCCATAAAGATGAAGCATGTCGTGGCCGCCTGGCAGAGTCGCCCTGCCAGGCGGATCGAGGCCGGCTTGCCGGTCAGCTCGCCCGAGGTCTTCGAGGACGAGGACAACACCATGAGGCTCCTACAACATCGCCCCGGCTCCCACGCCTCATGTGCACGCTGGCTTCACCATAGAGCAGGTGCAAATGCACTACAACGCCGCCTGCACCTCCGCCGACGCCTTTATCGGTGTTCCAGCAGGCGTAGGAGGAACAACGATACATGGATTCTACACTACTAATTCGTTTACACAAAGCAATTCCTAGATTCTACACTACTAAGCAATCCATGATTCTACAGTACCAAATTTCTACTAAGTGTGGATTCTACACTATTAAAATTTCTACACAAAGCAATCCATGAATTCTACGCTACTACACAAAGCAATCCATGGGCGAAACCCTACTAAAATTCAACAAAAAAAACTTAATCCATGGATTACATGGTGTTCGCGGATGAAGGAGGCGCGAGGGGAGGGACTGAACCTGTTGTCACCAGTGGTGTGCGCGATGAGCGTCTAGGTCCTCGGCGGCGACGGGCGGCGAGGTCGGAAGGCGGCGACGGCGGCGGCTGCTCTCGAGAGAGGGGTGAAAAGGATAGAAGAAGGTGAGATGGCTAGGTTTTTTACTGAGTGTGAGAGGTAAAGGAGATGGACCAGCGTTGGCATACCCAATGGGTCGTCGCTGCCAGAGCTCTCCCCCATGCCAGCGCATCGAATTCCCACGTCTTCACCGACTGACGGCCTCGCCCCAATAAGAGAAGTGGGGACCCATCTCTCTGTTTTGGGTTTTATTATATTTTTGTTTCTTCGGCGTGACGGGCTGGAATAACATTTCTTTGGTCTCTCTCTGTTTCATGACGTCTAGTCTGGCGCCACCGAAGGGCATTCTCATTGTGCCCCGGGATCCATGATATCTCTTCAAATCTTGGGAAATGGTGTGTGGTTCCTTCTGCAAAATGATTAATGCTCTTCTTCCCTTCACGGTGGTTTGTGGGCGACGCTATCTTTTTTCGCTAGTGAAGATCTCGTTGGACCAAGAACTTTGCCATATTGACCAAGTTTAGTTCATCAGTACAATATTTCGAACAACCCGAGTGCCTCGAGCCGCTTAAAAACCAAGGAGGATTTCCTTGATGGAGTCCACTTGGTAGTGCAGGTGATTTCTTGCTGCAACGATGTTCTTCCCGGTGTGGGTGATTCCCGCCAATGACAATTTGTTGGTGTTAGGGTATCTCCGACGTCGACCCTCAAACCTCCGGCATCCATCTAGACCGTGTTTTCCGGATCGCAACACGGTCCTGTATCGGTCTGCGGCACGGTCAGGACGTACTTTCTCCCGCAAACCAAAGACAAACGTGTGTGTGTGTGTTGGGAGGGGGATTTGCGGGAGTCCGGACCGCTCCCGGGGCCGCTTTTGACCACCCTGGCCCACCCAAATCCCTTATCCCTTACTCGCGCGCGTTCCCGTCCAGTGCCAGTTCCCCGCATTCATGCAGCTGCAGGCAGCGAAGCTCTGTGGGAGAGCCTTTCCACAAAGATGAAGCATGTCGTGGCCGCCTGGCAGAGTCGCCATGCCAGGCGGATCGAGGCCGGCTTGCCGGTCAGCTCGCCCGAGGTCTTCGACGACGAGGACAACACCATGAGGCTCCTACAACATCGCCCCGGCTCCCGCGCCTCATGTGCATGCTGGCTTCACCATAGAGCAGGTGCAAACGCACTACAACGCCGCCTGCACCTCCGCCGACGCCTTTATCGGTGTTCCAGCAGGCGTAGGAGGAACAACGATACATGGATTCTACACTACTAATTCGTTTACACAAAGCAATTCCTAGATTCTACACTACTAAGCAATCCATGATTCTACAGTACCAAATTTCTACTAAGTGTGGATTCTACACTATTAAAATTTCTACACAAAGCAATCCATGAATTCTACGCTACTACACAAAGCAATCCATGGGTGAAACCCTACTAAAATTCAACAACAAAAAAGCCTAATCCATGGATTACATGGTGTTCACGGATGAAGGAGGCGCGAGGGGAGGGATCGAACCTGTTGTCACTAGTGGTGTGCGCGATGAGCGTCTAGGTCCTGGGCGGCGAGGGGCGGCGACGGCGGCGGCTGCTCTCGAGAGAGGGGTGAAAAGGATAGAAGAAGGTGAGATGGCTAGGTTTTCTTACTGAGTGTGAGAGGTAAAGGAGATGGACCAGCACTGGCATGGGTCTAACAGGCCACGCCATAACTAAGTACATCTCAAAACAAATAACACAGATAACACAAATGGCGTACCAATAATTTTCAACGCCACCATTAAAGAAATAAAGCCGACGTACCAAATATACTAACGCCACCATTAAAAATGCCACGCCACCGACTAAGTTGCGGCTAGCTATTTTTCCACTAGTGGGAGGTACAAAAACGTGTCCTCTACTGATCAAGGGGAGGTCACTAGGCATGTGGTTCTTTGCACGATCGTGCACATGTATAATGATATAGTATCGGGATGAGAGGACGTTGCTTGTCTTTCAGGTGTTTTCTACTGATCGTACACATTGGTTTTGGCTGCCATGTATTCGAGAAGAAGGTTGTTGCTGTGTATGGGAAGGAGGCTTCGCCATGGACTTGTGTTTGTAACCTTGGTGATTATTTGCTGCTATCTACTACCTTGGCCCACTGGTTAGAACATGTAAACTCGGCCATCCTTAGAGCATCTACCGCCGGACGCTCTATTTTCTTCTCAACGTTCGCTCGATTAGTGTCCGGTTTAAAAAAAACGATCCAACGGAACACCCACAGTATTGCGATGATGCCACCGTGGCCCGTGGATGCCGTTGCACGCGCATTTCCGCAGCGGCCCAGTTTGGTTCGAGGCTCGCATTTTTCTAAATTTATTTTAGAATTTTCGACAACGCGCATGAATCTCGAGATGATATGTCGAGCTCAGTCTCTCGGAGATACTCATGGGATAGGATGTACGTTTGTGCATTCATATATATATATATATATATATATATATTCTGATCACAACCTGAACTGCCTGAGTAATGCGCCTGAACTTTCCTCTGTACGAACCTGACCTTCGTGCTA